AGAATGAGAAATAATTATTAGAAACATAAAAGAACATTTAGAAGGGTCAAAATAGTTTTTCATGCTTAAAGAATATTTTAGTGATTTTCGATACATGAGTAGTAGTTATTGCATGAGAAAATTAATTAAAGCATGTTTTTTGTGTATTAAAAATATTTTATTTGTTTAGAATAATTTTTAGAAGGGTTTTAGATTATTTTATATGATTTTATGAATTTTTTCGCATATGGTGAATATTTCATTGAATTTTCTAAGTGTAGTGTTTTTAGAGGTAAAGAATTTAATTAGGCACCTTAAGAGTATGAGGAATTTTTTTAAGAGTAGAGAATGATCATATGGGATGTGTGAGAGTGCCTAGAAAATTTAAATTAATTTTAATAAGTATAGGGAATATTTTTAATAGAAAATAGTGTAATTTTCACTAAATAAATTGGAGGCCCAAATGAGAGCCAAAAATTATGAAAATTTAAATCAAATTCCCTTAATAAATTTTTGAATTTATCATGGAAAGAAATTGGATTTTTGAAAAGTCTAGAATGGAATTTTAAAAGTAGGGACTAAATTGTCTAAAATTAGGGACTTAATTGCATAAAATTAAAAGTCTAATAATCCAAATTAAATTATGTAAGAATGTTAAGGGTAAAACATTAGTCCTGGAAATGGAAAAGGGAGGATTAAAAGTGAGTTTTTGCATAAAAGAGGGATTTAGGAAAGAATAGGCTATGGAAAAGTCTAGAAACTTGAAAGACCAAAATTTATCATTTTCCTTCTAACTTTGGTTGACCTAAAGAATTAATTAAGTCCGACTTCCAAGTAAATTTTATGGCTGAAATTAAGCTAAACGGAAGGCTTAAAAAAAAGAACAAATGGCCAAAAATTTAGCCAAATAAAAAGAATTGATTGAAAATTGAATTAAGGGTGAGATTTACCCAAATTAAGGGTGGATAAGGTCAACAAGTCTACAAAATTTTTCTATAAATAAGGGTTCGGAAAAATTAAAAAGGGAAGGAAAATTGAAAAACACAAAGGAAACTCTAGCAAAATTTTCACTCAAAAATTACCCAAAATAATCCTAACCAATTTTAGACCCTCTAAATCGAGTGGATTAAGCTTTAATTTTAAGTTGGGAGCTGAATACCTTCAAAAAGAATATTAAAAGAGCTAATTCAAATTTAGGGGAAAAAAGGAGGAGGAAGAGAATTCTCAAGCAACCTACCTTTTCAAGCTTAATTTAGAGCTAAATCAAGTAAGTTACCTTCACTTACACCACAAGTATGCTTAATTTCAAGTCAATTTCATGTTTAATTGCTTGATTTGATTTAATTGCTCAATTAAAAAAAATTAGGGTTATGGTTCTTGATGAACCAAATTTGAGGGTTTTGAATTCATTTAATTTGTGCTTTGGTACTTGATTCTGACTTATTTGAGCATGAATTAATATTTAGAAATGAAAAATTACACTTCGATTAAAGAAAAATCAACTAATTTTTAGGAATTATATCCGGCCTAAACTAAGAAAATTAGGATTTGAGTTCAAAGAAATTTGATTCTGGTTTGATGGGTCATTCACACTTTAATAAGCATGTTTTGATGAGTAGAAATGGAAAATTTGCTAAAAATTAAAGAAAATTGGTTTTATGGGCTTGGGCCTAATTTCGGCCCATTAAGGCCCAATACGGGTTTGGACCAGATTTTGGGTCCCAGATTTCACTTAAATTAATTTCTATAGTTTTTAAATATCTAGTCTACTTAGTGTTAAAATGGTGGGACAAAATGAGGAGAAAATGTTAGGATTTTAAAGAGGTCAAGTTTAGGCCTAAATGAGAATTTTGGAGAATTAGGTTTAAACCAAGTTTTAAACCTTAATTTTGATTATTCAAACTTAAAATACAGTAAAATGATGGTTTAGAATGAAAAGGGCTCATAAAAATTTAAAGAAAAATTGGGTTAGGAAAAATTAGGCCTTAGGCCCATTAAGGCCCAAACCGAAATTGAACTTCCTAAATCAATGAAATAATACCTAGTTAGGTCGGAAGATGAAATGATACTTAATTTGGTAAAGAAAAAATATGGAGAGCTAAATAAGAACCTAAGGAAAAGAATTTAGGAAAGTAAAGTGAAAAGTAACTTTAATGAACAAAGAGATGGAACAAAAATGTTCATCTCCCTTTATGTTATGGTTATGTTCTTTCAAATGCTATATAAATGCATTAGGTTATGAATAATGGTTATGCTTGAATGTGATTGATGATGAGAATTGGGTTATGATGATTAATGTGCCAATGATGGCGGTGTTAGTTTATATTGGATTGATGTTATCTATGCTATTATGTCTGCTCAATTTTATATCAATTCTTATGACTTGGTTACATAACCATTCAAAGTAAGCATTTATGAATTCATCCAAGTATGTTGGTTCATTGCAATATCATACACATGCTTAGCTCACGAATAATGTTTTAAGTCATGGAAATATATGTTATGTCATGGTTATCCAATAGCAATCGGAATAATTTTAAAGAAAAATTTTTTCATGACTTTAAGGTTTTAAGGAAAGGACTTTATGGGCTTTCTATACGGTGATGGTAATGGTTCGGGGTCGGGCAAGTGCGGACGTGCACTTTTAGAGGCTTAGTAGGGCGCGTCCGTAGATAGGTCCGGTTCGCAAGACATATATTATGAAAAACCCGAAGCACCTAAATGGGACATGTCCACGGACGGAAAAAGAATTTTTAGACTATTCTATGTTTTATGACATGAGGAAAAAGGAGACTTACTTTGCATAAAGCGAGTGTTACATACCCGCATATACATGAACATGTATTACATGCATCCATTAACTTACCGAGTTATCACTCATTTAGTTTCTTGTGGTGTAGATAAGTAACCAACTATGACCTACTTCTCCGTAGAGCTAATCATCGAAGGAGGCACCCAACATATGTATCTTGGATGGGGGTTCGATATTCGGGTAGACTCATTGTATATTGTTTTTAATTCTATTATGAGTTATAGGTCTACATGTACTTGAGGTAGCTAGCCTATCCTATACAATAGTAAAAGCTATGAAACAATAAGCGATATGACATGATAATGGTATAAAAGCAAATAAATCAATTTTATAGTAATTGACGTAAAATTAGTCTTATATGTAATAACTAAGGTGTACAATCGAACCGAGTAATAACAAAATGATGTAGTAGTAATAGTTGTGTAATCATTATAAATAAATAGTAACGAAAAATTTAGTAAGTGAATTACATTAATGACTACCTAAGAAGGTGAATGAATAAAGGTAAATAATTTAAGGAAACTCGAAAAAAAAAATTTATAGCACTTTTTAATAAAGAAATAGGACCTAAGCATTATTACTAGATGCCCATCGCATCAACATATTTAAATAAGTTACGATAAGATCATAGTGTCTTATTAACCTACATTCATTGCACTTCGAATGTGGTTAACAACGATAATATTCTCAGCCCATTAGGTCCTAGGCTGAGGGTGTTACGGCTTTTATTGTTGCAATGATTTCGTTGTGTAAGTCCTCATTCTCTAGCTACAACTTGTATTTATAAGCCTTTTTGATCCATGCTTCATATTTCTTTCCAACTACTCACGTGGCTTAGCAACGTTCCGTGTTGTCTTGTAACTACCATGATCATGCTCCACCACTACTAACTTCTTGCTATTTTCATGCTTCATTAGCATTAATCTCTTTTTTTATTGTTAGAAAAGTTATACTTTATATTTATCTCATTTAACTATCATAATTCTAGAAGTCCATGATCCATAAACTCATCACCCAAAAGATATTAGTTCCTTAATTACCCAATATACTTATTTTTGATGATCAAATTTATTGGACTTGCAAGCCTAGATCAAAATTTTGATATAACATTAATATATGACTCACATTAAACAAATTTGATTTAGTACATGGATTCAATTAAAATTTATATTGATAAAAGAACCTAATTAATCAATTACTTGTAATATAAAGATCAAATAGATCGTCAATCCTCCTTTTTTATCCTTTTTTTGTTGAAGAAATTACATAGGTTGGTTTAGTCTAATTCCTGTTAGATATTATATGTATAATATATTTTGAATTTCTAATGGTCGTTGTTTCTTAATTATAATAATATAATGAAAAATGCTATTTTTCAATTGCATAATTCAAGATTCATTGGACCTCTTTTTTTTTTTTTAAATAAATAAATAAATAAACAAAGAAAAAAAGTTATCATAAATCGAAACATGGACACCTCGTTAAAATGATGGGTTTTTTATTCACTGTACTATTTTTTTAATGTCATTTTGATCCCTCTTTTTTATTTTATTTTGATCATTTTGGTCCTTTCTTCTTTTTTTTTCTTTTTTTTTAAATTAAAAATTTTAAGCTAATAGAATGTTTAGAAAAAAACAATTTACAAAATAAATTTTTAGCTAAGAATCTATTGATTTTGATATTTTTATACTATTATAAATTTTTTAGTTTTTGGATAGAAATAAATAAATAATATTTTGAAAATTTATGAAAAATATAAAAAATAATCAGTTAAATCTAAAATTTTAATAAAAAAATTATAAAATTAAATAAATTTTTATTTAGTTTTGATTTGATATATTTTAATATAAACACATTATAAAACAAAACATTAAATTAAAATAATATTTTAAAAAAAATTTTTTATGTTTTATTCGATACTCATTTAGCATCGGTTAAAAAAAAAAAAATAATATACAACTAAAGGATGTCCCACCCAAGGCTTTGTTCACATAAATCGTGTGCATTACGTGCCATAAAACCCATCAACTGCAATCCTGTGGATGGATTTGGCTTACATCTTTCTTATCCTCAAAAAAATTAGTGGAAGAAATAGACTTCCTTTACACCAGAAAACAGTCTTGAACAAATTAAAAACACAATCCCAGAAACAGCAGTGAAGAAAACCAAACCAGGAATAAAAAAAAAAAAAGTGTTCCGTCATAGGGAAATGTTGCACAACCCAAAAGTATTTCAATCCTCCATTAAATTCAACTCTCCAATACACCCTTCACAAATCCAAAACATACCCAGCTCCCCATCATCTACTGTGATCAAGCAATGTTGCAAATTATCGCGACGAGAGCTTGCCATTTTTGGCAACTCTTCCTTGCTTCTTTTTCTAAGTTCTCAAACCCTAGAGCCATTCAACATGTCCAAAGCAAGAGCTGAAGAAAATTTGCCAGATGCCAATGAAAATGATCCACAAGAAGAGAATAATACAAGCACCAGACCCAAGTGCAGCAATAAAACTACAACAAAGCGTGCATTTCTTGATATATCAATTGATGGAGAACCTGTTGGCCGCATTATCATTGGGCTATATGGAGAGGATGTCCCAGCTGGAGCTGCTAGGTTTAGCAATCTCGTAAGTGGAGCTGCTGGTATTAGTTACAGAAGAAAAGAATTCATCAAAATCATGCCAAACTATGTGCAGCATGGTGGAGTAAGGTCATATGGCGTGGATGCTGAGCTTGCACAGAGAACAGGAACCAACTTGGCAGCAGAAAGTCTCGTAGATGAATGGGAGAAGCAGTATAAGACCTGTCCAGGTATCAAGAATGTGGCTGGAACTGTAAGCATTATCGTGAGGGATCCTTCCAAACCTCCTCCAAAGTTGAAGTTGGTCGCGAGGCAAGGAAAGCTTGAGATTGATCAAGAAGAAGTTGGGACCGACCCCAATGGTACAGAGCTTGTGATAGCCACCAAGGACTCACCGGAGCTGGATGCCTCGTCTCTTGTGATTGGAAGAGTATTGGAAGGGATGGAAGTTGTTGAGAAGATTGGGCAAGTGAAGAATGTGCAGGAGAATACCAAATCTCCTTATTTCAGGTGAGCTAACAATTCTGCCAGAGAAAGCAAACATTGTACATTTCACTTGGCATTGCATTAATCATAGATAGACAGTAATCTTTTTTTTTTTTTTTTGGTGAACAGAGCTGCCAAGCTGATCGGAGACAAGAGAGCTGTAGTTGCAGAAAGAGGCTTTAACCGGCCATACTCTAAGGTGGTCGTCACTAATTGTGGCTTGGAGTAACACCAAATGTTCGTTGCGTCCTTCTTCTGTTGATTTATTGTTTGAAAGAAGGGAGGGATAACAATTTTTGTGAGAATGAATTATATTGCTATTCCTCATTACAATATCATAATCCTGTTTTAACAAAGTTACAGCTCAACTCACATGACAGTGTTACAATTCCGCCCAAAGCCTAATCACTCAGAACTCTTTCCAAGGTCCGCATACACCCTTTGGAACTTCACACAGCACATCCTACCATATATCTTTGAAAACACATTGACACTCGGCAAAACTAATTAGCTGCGCCTGCTGCTTCAGCTTGATCCACTAGTAGGCTTCATTCTTTTCACAGAAGACATGAAAAGCTTTCTAACTGAAGCGATGGGATCATCCACCTATAAAATAACAAGTTGTAAGCACTAATACATTACAGATAAAAATTACAAAATAAGGCAGTTCAACCAAAATAAACCCCAACTGTTAGTTCTGGCAACAGCTACAAGATGGAAGGATCGAGACACAGAATATTCGCCTCCCTCCATAAGTTGTCTTCATTAACAACAACAATATTCCTTGACTTATTAACCAGGATCTTAGAGACTAGTTAATTTCAGATGTCTCAAACCCGATATAGGCTTTATCATGACAGGCCCATTTTAATTAAAAAGATATCATTGATTTGGTGGAAATTTGGGCACAAAAGTTAAAGACAGACTCAAAGAGTGCCTCGGCTGGCTACTACCCTTATCAAATCCACCATGCTTCTCTATCCATCGGTCACTAAACATAGTTAGCACAATAACGCTTCACCAATAGGGGTGTAAGATTTCTCAATACCTTAATCAGGGAGGAAGATGGAGGAGAATTTGTAGAAGAATGAGAGAAATTTTTTTGACGCTCTAAAGCAGAAAGTGTTTGTTGCCAACCAGGTGCACTGCTGCTTGATACAATCCAGGGGCAAAAATGTCTGTGCTGCCTGATTGGATCAAATCCCAATGATTTGTCTAGTGCCAGTTGCTTATGATCCTTTCCTGGAACATGAGAGCATCATGGTTAATAAACTTCCTTTGTGATTAAACGACAATGTATCATGTAAATCAGAAAAGAATAGCACTAGAATGTCGACTGCAACTTCTACAGATGCGTAGTGGGAAAGCATGTTATTCGAAAGAAAAGCTACAATGCTACATATTAAAAACTTCAATAAAAGATCCAGACAATGAACTTTATATGCAATATTTCATTCGGAAAATGCTTCTATAAATCAACAGCGTGATGACTGTTCAGCAACATCAAAATCAGACAAGAAGGCTAGCCATACAGTTGCATACCTGTACCGTAGGCCACAACTTCAACCTGCACTCCATCTGTGGTGGCTTCTTGGCTTTTTTCTTGAGCACCTAAAGTGTTCTGGATATCAGAACAAGTCTCACCTCCTCTCACATCTATCCGAGAAGCAACACTTTTGCTGCCTGAAATATCTGCTCGTGGAATTTGTTGTCCATCATGATTGATAGATGAAGTAACCATCTCTAAGGAGACAATAGCATCTAAGCCAGAGATGGAAGAGGCACTAACTTGAGAACCTCCAAGAACCCCCACTACCGAATCAAGCAATTCAATATTGTTAGAATTTTCAGGCAGCCGATCAGTTGCATCATGACCAAGCATTGTCTTTGGTGGACCCTGTATTGGATGTTCCACAGCAGAATCGTGCCCAGAAGTTTCAGGAACAATTGGTTCTCTAGTAATACCTGTCTCTTCCACAGACATCTGGGAATTATTCTCTTTTCTAAGTGCACCACCTTCACTACTTTCAAAGTTCAAACAAGAAGATTGGTCACCACTTGCATAACTACACTGTCCCTGATCATGAATTTTGCTCTTTAAAGGACCGACAGCTTCATGCAGAGAAACTTGTTCACCAAAATTGTGTTCTGCAGATTCCCTTTCCTCTGAAGTCGGATTCTTGTCTTCAGATCCAGATTGAGTAACTTCTTGGTTATCACTTGTACGATCCCTAAAATCAGAATCATAAGAAAGCCTGGCCCTTAAATTCCGGCCAATAACAGGCAATGAAATTGTTGCTTTGAAGTTCTGTTTTGTTGGGGGTGGACCCCCAGCAATCGTCACACCATTGGAGGCAAAATTTCCAACAACCCCCCTGTCGTCAGCATGATTTTCATTAGCTGAATCTTGTCCAGAATTCTTGTTACCATTGACTTCTGTATATCCAACCAATCTAAACAATTCTAAAGGCCGTGGAACCATAGAAAAAGACCATAATCCCACACTTGCTCCACAGAGCCTGCAATCTAAAACAACAGCATTAGGATCAGCTTGTGCCCCACTAAAAGAGCCAGATTGTTCATTTGCCTCCACGCTTTGCTCAGTCGCAACAGAGTGGACTTGGATACTTGGATTCTGCCCATTAATGACCATATGGGATGAATCTGTGACAACAGAATCCTTAACAGGCTGTGTTGGTCTGCCATTGCAGTCAACAGCGTAAGGCAGCACACGCGGTTCCCAGCCACATAAACTTATGAGCTTTTGTGCCTGCAAATGCTTAAAATTGTCGCCACTCTTATCAACATTCAAGAACAATGAAAACTACCATCAACATATTGACCATGAATACATGGCACAGTAAATCATCACTTGTACTGGTCATTATTTTGACACATCACATGTTCTTGGGAAAATAGAACCTATAAACACTGTAAAATTAATATACTAAAAACTTAAAGGTGGGCTGACATGAAAAAGTGATGCAGAAAGTTATATCAGAAAAGATGATGCCAACAAGGGGTCTTATGGACCTGCAAATGCTTAAAATTTTAAGTACACTTCACCAAGAAATCTAGAAAAGGAAAACTGCCATTGACATATTGCTATCAATGTATAGCAACTATCACATGCACCTAGTCATTGTTTGGCACACATTATACACTGATGAGAATAGCACCATTAACACTGTACACTTAAAATACTCAAAACTAAAAAAAGTGGGCTGACACAAAATGGTTATATTAAATACAAAGGTAAAAAAGTACTGAACCTGATAATACAAGTTTGCAGAATCAGCATCACAATCATTTCCAAGGAATTGTATTTCTGATAAGTTGGCAGACCCATTGCCATATTCCACTGTTGGCGATTGTCTAAGAAACTCTTCTAGCTGAGGGCATCTCATGTATTCAATGGCTGAAGCTGAAATCAGTGGAAGTGCTAAAAGTTGTAGGAGTGCACAAGAGCGTTCTCTGAACTTATCAACTAAAATTTGAGGTGGAGTGGGAGGAAATTCTGCCAATCTTTCATCACATGCATTGTCAATCCATGGACACAATAGTTTGTGTCCATTATCCAGCTTTAAACTAAATACCAATGCTGCCTTCTCAACTGAAAGCATGGGAAAATAGTAAATTTCAGATACAAACATAATAAGTTGCATATCCTAGAGCACTGGGCATGTGCTGAAGACAAAGGAAAAGACAAAGAAACATGACGTGCCTTGTTTCTGTGACCAAGATGATGGAGTAGAAAAAAGGAGACGAGCTCCACATGCTTCACAAGCTATGATATCTGTATCCAAGTTGATCCATCCCCTTCTTGCACAATTCACAGCACTTACCACCTAAGAATGGATAACAGAAAAAAGTTATAATTTACTACTTCATAAAGGTTTACCAGCTCAAGAATATATGCAAAAACAAAAGAAAGGGGAAAAAGAGAAGGAATTCAAAACAGTTCCGCAATAACAGAAGCATGAAAACGACAATAAAAAGCAGAGATGGAAAATTTATGGTCCTCAATGAGAGGTGCAAGAGATTTCAATCAACTCATGTAGTTCACTGATAAATAAATAAATAAATAAAACAAATAATGCAAATAAGGAAACTACCTATATGTATGTATGCATATATGTACATGTAGAGCATGAAAATTATATTCATATAGGCACTGGGCAGTATCAATCAATTTACAAAAAACAAGGGCAAGCACCTGTCAACAAATGAGCTACATACAAATTAAGTAATCTATAGGACAAAAAAGTCCCTCGTTATTAGCAAAAATCTGTTCAAGATCCACAGCAGTGGGTAACTTTAACCTAAATGTCCTTCAGAGAAGTTGACTGTACATCCTTCCCCCTCAAATGCTTTTTAATCTCTCTTCCAGAAAACTCAAAAGTAACAACTCCATATATTTTTGCCATTTCAAATTTTAAACTCGAGTAGTAGAATATACAGAACTAACCTCATCTTTACCACAAATAAATTAAAAGGACAGTAAAAATACTTCCAAAAAAAACAAGAGCCTGGAATATGAGTTTGCGTTAATAGGAAACAGACTGTTTCACAGATGAGATGCGAACTCTAAAGAGATTTTGATAAAAAAACCAATGTGGTCTTACAGAATGTTATCAACTTGATTTGAATAATAAGAAGAGAGGAAATGCTATGAAGGAAAAATAATGTTTATCAACAATTGACCTCTGATAGGATGTTAGCCTGAATATTTTCAAATGTCAGAATGTTCACTTATAGAAATACAGCAAAAGGAAGCAAATGGCTTGCTACAAGCCCATCATTCAACAAAAATTTCATTTAGTTAGATTGGATTCCACATGTTCCCATAGTACATTTAGTTAGATTGTGTGCGTTGAAAACATCAATTCCTGAAAATTCCAAAAGGTTTATAGTAAAATGGATGATGAGAAATAGAAGAACCTTGGGCTTAGCAAACCAGGTCATAGACTTAAAAGTAGCAAGCCTCCTCATAAAATCTCCTCTGTCCCAGGGTCTACATAAAGGAGCTGAAGAAACATGCCCAGCTCTCAGTCTTGTTCTATCAGGTTCCACTAGTGCTAATGCAGACTCAGGATTGCCTCGTTTTTTGCCTCTTGGTGATGATATTTGTGAAACTCCAGATGATAAGGATGAACTATAAATCAAAATTCAAATCAATCAAAATCCGACAAAACAAACAAATAAAAACTCCAGATGATATTGGAAATTGAAGAGAAAGGAAAAGGAAAAGCAAAAGCAAACCTGGGGCTGGAGGGATTGGAGAGGGGTTTGGTCGGAGGAGTGTTAAGGAGCTTGTCCATGATGGAGTGGAATCTCTTCTCTTGATCCTCTCCCATTAGAAGTAATATTTCCAAAGCTCTCTACTCCGTCTGCCTCAGCACAAAAGTTTGTGTCTAATCTAAATCGGCTATCGCTGCTCCTCTGCTTTAGTGCACACAGTGAATACGGTGTCCGGAGACGAGGGAGATTTTGTTTTGGAGAAGTTTTAGCTTTTAGGTTAGGATGGATTATAATTTAATTATATATTATTATTATTATTACTACATTTTGTTGCCAAATAAGAAGTTCAGCAATTAGTGGTAATGAGCAAAACACAGAAATCACACTACTTTTGAATACACAATTAGAACACTGGGTCCGCAACATCGTACTCTTATTTTAATACAATTTTTTTTAAAAAAAAAAAAATTTGATCAGATCTTGGTCCAACTTAACATGGGTTAATCTTAATTATACTAGTAATACCAGTGAAGGTTTTCGAAGTTATCGTCTAGGCTGCATTTGTTTTAGGTTTTTTGTTTTCCCGTGTTTGTTTGGTCATCTTGGAAAAAAGGTCAAATAAGTTTATTTTTCAGTTAAGGAAAATTAAAAGCCAAGTTTAAGGAAAATGACTTCTCGGATAGAAAACAGGAAAACATTTTCCCTTTGGAGCCTGTTGTTGTCCATCCCTTTCTCACTTAAACTCACCCGTTCCATTCGTTGCCTGAAGCCGACCCAAGGACGTCTTTGCCGCCCAAAGCCACCGCAACAAAGCTAACGTCACCGTCTAGCAAACAAAGCTCGCAAAAAACGATTAGATCTGCTCGTGATTTCTTGTTATATTGTCCAATTTGTAAAGATTTTTATGTGTCTTCCTCCTTTAGATCTAATTTCTAGTGTAATATTGTCCGATATGTTTGTTTGTGCATCTTTCTCAAACCCTCTATCACCTTTTTTTGTTACTCTTTCTTATAAACTACGTCGTTGTTGTGAATGGGATCCGGAAGTCATATTTGTTCTTCGTTGTTTGATTTTTCCCTATATATATACACACACAAAAACATTGAAATTAATATATTCCAAACAAAAACTAATATATCCTAGAGGGCCTAATCACCCGGGTCCGTTTTGTATTCAAGGGTCAATGCTCTTTTGGCGGTTTTATTGGGAAGGGTAAACCCTTAACCGGGAGCATTCTTGAGATGAACCCACACAATAACATTGTAAATACTAGATAGTGCTATTTAGATTAATTGGATGGCCACTTGTGTGTAAAAATTCTTCTTTTATCTGCTAAGGAGATATTTTTTCTTTTGTACCTTATTTGGCAAAGTGCCTTTTAATAACGTTTTAATTATTTAGAATCCGATACATGAAAAAAATTAAGGTTTCAATATCTCACCCCACCGATGTAGCAACCGTCCCTTCTAGAGATGCCTTTCCGGTTTTACGATTATGTGGGATAAGCTATAACCTTGGTCCAGTGCAAAATGATTGATGCATTAGAAGTCGTTAAATAAACTAAGATATTAGGTGTGTTTGCATCGACAAGAATTTGAGGCTTTTATGGCTGATTTAAATTTTGTTGGGTTTGGTAAAAAAAAAGTAATCAAAAGAATTCGAGCATATGTTGTTTTACGGGCTAAAAGTTAGTGAAAGGCTATATTAAAGAAATAGAAAACTAAATCTTGCAACGAACAGGAAATAATGAAAGAGAATAGAAAATAATATTTATCGGAGATTTCCATAAAAAAAACTATGCCATATTCTTTGGCACCGCATCTATATTGATGCGTCAAACATCCACAAGGTATGGTTGTATGCATTGTAGGCCGAGTGCTAATTGCTTTTACGAACATGAACACACACCCTAGCTCCCAATGCATCCATAATAAATTGCTACACTTTTTATATAGAGCCATGATGTGAAATATAAAAGCTAGTGGCTTACAAGCACCTAGCTAAGAAAAATTTATAAATGCATACCTTACTCGTCTTTTACATTCCTCCAAAGAGAATTTCAAAATTGATCGGTTTCTCGGTGTTTGCATATCTAAGTACAATCACATGCCCCGGAACTTGATGAAAAGTTTCGTTTCTTTTTCCTTTTACCCAAATACTTTAAAAATTCAATTTGAAGTTTACATAAGCAAACTAAATTAAGCCATGGTGCTTTTGTACTAACTTGTCATTCATTTCAACATTTATATCCGGCTATGGTTATGCATGTGATAGCTTTTACTATTGCAAACCTAGTCGGCATACTAGACTCGTCGTATCGGCTCGTTTCCTATTGTCCTCCGAAAATTCCGAGTCGGTGAAGGTCTATCATAATGATGTGACATTTAGAGACTTTAACAACAATTTCTTTTGCATAGCAACATTCCTAAGATTTGTTGAAGGCTTGAGAATATTGTGATACATTATGGACTATTTACTCATTATCTATTTTCAAGTTGTTCGGCCTTGCATGATTGTTTGCTAAATTCTTTGCACACCTAGTGTCTTTTTGTTGCTCCATGCTATGGGCACGCATTGGGGTATTGCTATATTGATATTGTTGCAAATTGACTAGTGCAATCGTAGCATACTAGCTTTAACTACGATTTTCTTTGATTTAATCTATTCCATATTGCTATGTGGTTGGTGCTGGCTTGGAAAACTATTCCAATTGTTATCATCCTATCAAAGATATTATTTATAGGTCTTTTACTATACACGGTGAACTTCTCACATACTTGGTCATTCTCTACAGTGGTAATTCGGACGGTTTGTTCTTAACATCGATATCCTTGGGAGGTGTGTCTTTGTTTGCGGCTCTTGGGTTTCTACTCTATGGTGGAAGGTAACCACACTTCGTTTTCTTATTACTATATATGCTTGATTCATGACCAAGGTGAATACACACGAGCATGATATATAGGGTGTCGACACTAGAAAAATTTATAAATTATATATTTGCACTCTATGCGAATGTTATTGATGGGCTTGGATTAAACCCCAAAGTATGCAAATGGCAATAAATTTGTTAATAAGAAAATCAAAGCCATGGCCACCGCTTTAATTTCCCGATACTAAATTATCGTATGTGATACACAAAATAATGGATTTCTTTTGGTTTATGATATCATCGTGTATTGACACCAAATAGTGTCGGCCTTTTTTGGTTTGGCCCAAACCATTGCTTTAATTGGTATAGGTTCGGATATCCATTAAAAATGAACTATTCAACTTGTTTATGACTATTTCTTTATGACATTATGTCCCTCCGAAAGTTCGAGTTCCATGTTAATTGACCTACCAAATCTATGACAATGCTATGTCATTTCAATATTTCCTTACCCGGAAAGGCTCAAAAGTGGATTTATCCAAGTCTAAAATGGATTTGTCTTTAGCCGCTACTTGTTGGTGGAGGTTGGTTAGGTTGACGACACCTTGTTTTTCTTATTGAAAAAAACAACCATTGGTGTTCTTATTAGATATGTTTCTAAGGTAGCAAGTACCAACTGTAATTACTTTGGTGTGATGGGATGGCATTTTTCTATAAACAAGTTCTAGTGGGATTTTTCGATAGAGGGACTCCATTGGAGCAATATTGTAGGTGTTCTTATTGTTCCCTGAGGTTATGTCGGTTTCGGGCATATTTTCACTTTCACCCTACTTGGTGAAGGTTCGGCCACCACTCGATAAAAGATGCTCTCTATTATTGGTTTATATTGGGAAGTGGGAGTCGGATGCTATCTATGTCCTATCACACTTGCTATCTTATTTGACTAGCCTCGCATCCTCTAGAGGAAGTCGAAACTAAACATATATACCAAAAAAAAAAAAACAAGAAGATATGGTGAATTTTGTCATCTTTGTTGTTGCAGTTAGATCGGGTTTGCAAGATTGTCCGACTTGCCTATGACGTCTCTAGTTGTTTGGATCATCATGCAATTCATGTAGTGCATTTTGATCATCTTACTTCTAGGGTCAAGGCTCGGTCTATAAATTGGTTCCTTTATGAGTCCAATCATGGTTCGTTTTTCCTGAAATGGTTAGAGATAAAGTGTTAGTTACTTGGGGCCATTTTGAGTTTTGCTTTTGTTGTGTTTACTTTGTCGATAACTAAAGCTTATCATCCTCTATGCCTTAATTAGCCAAGTTCGAAATAAAATTTGATGCCACCCTTAACGAGTCTAATTTTTAAATTATAATTGCTAAATATTTTGAGTTATCATCCTACTGTATACATGTTGTAATTTTAGCAATTTTTTCCGTCATTTGGAGCTTATTAAATGAGTGATAATGCTATTTAACTATTTCACTTGTTTTTATTCTTTGAAATTCTGTTTATTGTCAATGCTTGTAGAAATGAGAAACACAAAGCAAGAAAAAGCTAAGGTCGAACAATTTATGTGGACAAAACCTATGTCTCATATGTTGAGATTTTGGCTAAGGAGGTTTGTGAAAGGAAATAAACCTTCTTCCACTTTCAAACAAGATAGCTTTACATGTGTAGCAAGAGAAATCAACCTGAAATTTGAATTAGATTATTCTCCTAATCATGCTAAAAATCATTTGAAGACAATAAAAAAAGAATGGAAGGTTATCACACAATCGCACGAGAAAAGTGGTTTTGGATGGAATGATGAGTTGAAAACGATAACCATCTCAAAACAAGTTTATGATGAAAAGATAACGAGTAATATAATTTTTTTTGAATATCTCAACTTTTTTTTATATATTTCAAAAATGTTTTCTAATTTTTTTTAATATACGGTCACATCCTAACATTGAGAAATACTTAAACAAAAAATTGAGATGTACAATGAGATGTCACTTGTTCGTTGGACAAGATATGACCACAATAAGTTTTGCTAAGTCCTTTAATGATATCAACTTAGCTAAGAGCTTTGAAATGGAATCTACAAAACTGGATGAAGTTGAAATAGGTAAAGGAAAAGAAGCATCGTTAACTAGTATGCTTTACGAAAAGAGAAGCCACCAAAAAAGACATCGTGAAACTGCATAATCAATTACATGTATTTTAGCTATGGAAGTGAGAGAAGTGGCCTAAGTAACTCATGCTTTAACCAAAAATGAAGTTGATATAGATGAGCTTTATGATGTGTGATGAAGATTACTGATTTTGATGATGGCATATTGAATAATGTGTTTGATTACTTGGTGCGGAATGAAAGGTTGGTAAAGGCTTTTATGGCGAGAAATGAAAAACATAGGAAGCTTTGGATTGAAAAGTTTATCAATGAACATGGTGGATCATCTACATGATGTTATGTGTGGCTTTCCTATTATGTATTTGGATTTGTAAGAGTATGAATTTTATAGGTAGTTTTTATATCTTCCGGATGTTGTATCTTTGCAACTATTTTTGTAGTTATTATTATGGATGTGGTTATTTATTTTTTTATTCAACCAAGCTTTTCATTATAATTTTATTATATGACTTTTTTTTTATAAATAATTATGTTATATTTTTTATGTTTCGAGTTGTCATATTAAAATGTTTCAAATCAAATTTTTATCTTTTATAATTATATTAAAATTCATCTTATCAAAAAAAAATTTAAAAAAATTATAAGTATTGTTATTTCAATTATAAAATATCACATTATTATTTATTAGTTTAATTATATGAATTTTAATACAAAAAGTTAAACAAGATTAACTTTATTTCTTTTCTCATGTAAAAAAAAATTATTATACTAAAATATACCAATAGGAACATGTTAAAAAAGTTCATATATATATATATATTATGGATGTGAGATCTTTTAATAATTTTTATATTGTAAGATTATCAATATGTCTTATTGAAATTCTTTCAAAACTCTTTGATATAAAAATGCGAGTCCGTTTTTATGTTTCAATTTTACGCATCAAACAAACATTGGAAGATGTTTTCCAATAGTTTTTTCATATAATTGCCAAACACTAGAAAATATTTTTCAAGAAATCAACTTCCAGGAAAATAACTTCCTCAAAATTCATTTTCCTACCGAAAATTCTTTTCCACCAAACAAACAGAGCCCTACGGTTTGAATTTTAGAAGATCGAAGGAAAGTAATTATTTTATAAATGTATGGCTCTAAGTGTAAATGACTAATTTAACATCCACCTAGAGAAAAATATTTAGTATTTATGTGCAAAAATTGGTTTGAAAATAACATTATTGTTAGGAAGGTGTTATTATTTCTTAATCTCACTCCATTTTTGTAAACTTACGAAAAATAACCTTCTTCCATGACTTGATTTATAATTAGTATTACTCATTTGCTCCAAAGAAATTGTCCTTCGATTTTTAATACTAATTAAATAACATATTAATTGTTATGTTATATCGGTATTTTATGTCTATATTTTTTAAAAATTGATTTGAACGACATTTTATAAAATGAATTTAATTAGGAGTATTTAAAAAATATATCATTAAAATTTTTTATTAGAAAAATATTTTGAGACACATATAAATAGAAAAAAATAGACAATCTATTTGAAACTGAAAGAGTATTATTATTATTATTACTACTACTATTATTACAATCACCACCACCACCACCATCATTGCACATGATTTAAAATACCTTAGCTGAAAGTACATTAAAATAAAGACATAAAGATTATCTCGATTGAATTTTTAATTTGACTTCAACTTAAACCCATTAAGCTTCCTTTTGTTAGGCAAGATAATGTTTGGATTGGATCATATAGTAGTAGGCTTGTAATTTTTATTACTTTTTTAGGTCTATTGAGAGCAATAAATGTTCAAAAAGAAGGCTCCAATTTAGGAGAAAATGGCTCAAAATACCGAAGAGTAAGCATAATGATGCAACTCTTCTTTTGAGTTAGCAAAGATACCATGAGGCAACCTTATACTATATTAGTTGGAGGCTAGATGGCGACTTCATGACAACTAAATGATAGTTGGCATGGGTTAGCTAGCAAGGGGAGTTAGTAATTGTTAGAGAATTAGTCAAACACACGGTTGGTAATAATGTAGTTAGAAGAATAGTTACTTAGGTTGTTAGGGATTGAGAGAGAGTACGAAGAGCATGGGAAATCGAGTTGTGAAAGTTACGGAATTTCTCTCTCTTTTCTCATTCTATAATTCTCTCTAGTTACGTTGTTCTTCTTCCCGTAATTCTTTTTCTTCTTCTTCTTTATTTCATCACTTGCATGGTTACTATTTTCATTGTTTTCATTAATTGCATTTTAATACAAATTATTACGTTTAAAGTTAATTTCAAGTAATAAACTTAATTTTCTTCTAGTTTTTTTTGCAATTCCTAGTGTTTTCATATTGATTTAAATTGGAGTTAGATCAATTGGTATCGGAGTCGATTCTCACACTTATAAAGAGTAAATCAAGTTGGATCTTCATTGCGAAAGCAAATGCTAATTTTTGATCCTCGGGTTTAATTGATGTTTTATGACTTAATTATATTTTAATTAGGTATGAATTAATGTTTGGGAATGAAAACTTACTCGAATTTTGAAGAAATTTCATGGAAAAGCTTAGGAAAGCATTCGGCCCAAATCCATAATTTTTAGGGTTTTGATTTCTTTAACTTAATTCATGAATTATTGGTTAATTAAGAGTTGAATAAGTATGATTTGATGAGTGAAAGTGAAAAATTTCATGAAAATTGAAGGATTTTTCCTAATTTAGTTTAGGTCCAAATTCGACTCATTAAGGCCCAATTAGGTTTTATGCATGTATTTGACCTATGAATATAAAATGAATTAATTTTTTATGCCAATGTGTAATTGAATAACTTGGTATTAGAAATTGGTGATGAATTGAGAAGAAAATAATGAAGTTAATGCTAGGGTTCTATTTGGCCCAAATTAGAATAAATTAGGATTTAGGTGTAATTGATTTCTAATACTTCAAATAAGCAATTTAGACTTAGAGTAATATAATGAAATGAGTTAAAATGAGAAATGACATTAAAATTGGAAAATTAGCTTCAATTACCTAAACTAGGGATTAGGCCCAATAAGACCCAATTTGAAGTTTATGTATGTAATTGATCAATTAATACCTAATTGAATTAGTTCTTGATGTTAAGGTTTAATTGAATAAACTATAAGAGAAATTGGTGTTAAAATTGGAAGAGAATGTTTGATTTAGATTAGGATTACTATTCGTCCTAAATTAGAATGAAAATTGTGATGTTAATGAATAAGTTTGTTGCCATGTATTGTGTAATGGTGTTGTATTGATAATGGTTTGGAATGATTTTATTAAAGTAATGTTTATGATATATTTTATGTTGTTAAATTATGTATTATCATCGCATAAATGCATCTCATTCATGGCATGCATTTCTTGTAACAACGATAGATATACATTTTCCATAAAATGCATATGCATGCCTAATTTTATGAAAATGGTTTAAAGTCATGAAAAATATGTTTTTATGTCATGATTTTCCAATAACAATTGGAAATATTTTATGGAATGAGATTTTCATGACTTTGAGGACTTTTATGCGAAGGTCTTCAAGGGTTTTTCATACTTTTATGGTAAAAGGTTCAAGGTTGAGCAAGTGCAAACGTGTACTTTTAAAAGCTCGATAAGACGCGTTCGTAGACAGAGTCCGGTTTGTCGGACGGATTATAGAAACCCCGAA